TATGTATGTGTGTGTGTGTGTGTGAGAGAGAGAGAGAGAGAGAGTGTGTGCGTGTGTGTGTGTGTTGTATGTGTGTGTGTGTGATGTGTGGCGTGCGTGCGTATGCGTGTTGTGTGTATGTGTATGTGTATGTATGTGTGTGTGTGCGTGCGTAGGCGAGGGGTATCACACACTGGAACGACATAACGCCATTCCATCACAGACCCATTACAGCGAAGGCCATCACGTTCTCATTAAGGTCATATAAAAAAATGAGGGAGAGAGAGAGAAAAAAAACACAGGTGGACATATTGTAGTTCAGTGAGAGAGGTAGGGAGAGAAAGAAAGAGAGGGAGAGAGAGGAGAGGGAGAGGAGAGAGAGAGAGGAGAGAAGAGAGACGAGAGGAGAGAGAGAGAGAGAGAGAGAGAGAGAGAGAGAGGTGAGGAGAGAGAGAGCGATAATGAGAGACAGAAGAGGAGAGAGAATGTGAGACAGAGAGAGAGGGGGGGAAGGAGAAACAGAGAAAGAGAGAGAGAGGCGGGGAGGGAAGAAGAGAGAGAGAGAGAGAGAGAAGGAGAAAACCGAGAGAGAAGAGCGAGAGAGAGAGAGAGATGAAGGAGAAGAAACCGAGAGAGAAGAGAGAGAGAGAGAGAGAGGAGAGCAGAGAGAGAGAGAGAGAGAGAGAGAGAGAGAGAGAGAGAGAGAGAGAGAAGAGAAGGAGAGAGAGAGAGAGAGAGAGAGAGAGAGAGAGAGAGAGCCGGATAACGACGATATAAGAATACAACCTGATGTACCCTTGAGCGAAAAGATATGAATATCACTGTCTTTTTTTTCTGATTTTCTTCTTTTCTCTTCGCCTTGAGATTGGCAGCGAGATGACAGGACATAACATTTGAATTTACCAGAATCCGGAGTTGATCAGAGATATGTCATGAACATTTCTTATCAAAAAAGATATAAAAAAACAAAATAAAAACATTTTGATAGAAGGGCAAAAAAATGGAAAAAATAAAAGAGCACAGCAAACGCTCTAAAGGTATAGATTAAACCATATGAAACATAGCCATCATTACTATCATTACTGTTCCCATCATCATCATTATAAGTAAACAGTACTACTAGATGAATAAAATTATAGCAATCCCTATAGCAAAAATACCAATAATCATCCTCCTTCTAATCCGTATAGCAACGGCAAAAAAAGTCAGTGATTATAGAGCAACATCAATACCCCATCAAACTGCAATATAAGTTACACAAAACAGCTTCCAAAATCCTTCAAAAAAAAGTAAACAAAAAAGGATAATAACGCACTAAAATCGAGTCCTAAGGATATATGCATTCCGCTGTTGATATTGCAAATTTCACCCGATCAGATCGATTATAATAGCAGCTGCGTTTATGCAAATTAACCACTCGGGGCAAGAGGTACCGTTCCCTCCCCCCCCCCCCCCCCAAGTACCCTCCATGTCCACGTACCTTTCGGTGGAACGACTGACGTCTAAGGTGCACGGTGCACGTAATCACTAACAGGTGTGTTGCGTCTAATGAGTTTCGTAGTTAAGGGAACCATTTGTCTACGTTAGCTTGCTTATTAGGGTCATTTTACCAAGTCACTGGCGATGGATTGGTATCTGTGACGTCATTTCGGATTATTCTTGAGGTGGGGTAGGGGGGAGGGGGAGGGGAGAGGGAGGGGGGCAGCTCCTAAGGGGTTGAAGGTGAATCATGTGCTGATAATGAAGGGGGTCGATGAAATGCATGCGATGATATTCCCCACCTTCGAAAGTCACGCGTTGGGAAATGGCGTCTCTATATCTCCATTTCCTGTGAAATATATTTGGATTTTGGTTTAAGAAAAGAGGAAGGAATTTAAAGGTCAACAGAATGGACTATTTCCACGAATATTTCGAACTTCTCGCTTCCAATATGGACTGAGTCATGGCACAGAAGTTTAGAAGTTTTATCCTACAAGCTGCTTAGCCTTTCATCTCGTCAAAAAAAAACAGTGTCAGTCTTTCTTACTCTCCCCGACCGCACTTGTCCTTCAGGCTAATCGAACTGTCTCACAGAAACCACAGCTTCCTCAAACCTCAATAATCATCTTCATGTGAGGAAACCCTCTTCCTCCCTGAACAAAAAAAAAGGAGGGAGTATTTGACTTGTTCAGAAAGATATCATATTCATATCCAGGATATCTTCCGTGAAAGAGACTTAAAAAGATCTAAATAAATGAGAAAAAGGCCAAGAATATACAGGAAAATAATCTTTCTTTCGACAATGTGAATAAATAAATATGAACGTGGTTTCGAAGCGTACTCGAGCGTGGCTTCGGAAGGTTCGCCCAGCCATCTCAGCCGCCCATGAAATCCTTTGATGAAAACGTGATAACTGATATTCCCATTGTGCATGACGGACACCGAGACAGGATGATCGGTTCCTGCATGTCTCAATACCGTGGCGCTGGATCTTCAGTGTGTGTTCAGTGTAGCTGGTATATCTTAAAGGTTGGGAGTTATT